TTTAAACAAGGCTTGCAAGTAAATCTGCAACGGAATAGCCAAGAGGTTGCGCAAAAGTGCTCGCCAATCGTCGTTCGAGATAAGCGGATATCTCTACTGCTGCAAGCCAATTAGTCGAATGTTTAGGACCATTGCCATTTCGAGAGTTATAATTACCACAAAGTCCACAGCTCCTTTTGCAGTTTAATCTCATATATCTTGGATTACGCTGGCACTCTCCTATTCTAGCCCAGGAAGAACATCTGTAGTCATTATCTCTGCAATCTATTAATAGGAAAGAAAGAACATGTAAACATAACAATCAATTAAATTTAACAACGCACAGTTTTACCATGAATAAAGCTACCTGAAAAGCACTGAGTGGCATTTTCTATTTTTTATGATGCTGTGGCTTTGCTTTGGTCTGTGGATGATTTCTCGAAGCGCATGCATTTAGATAAACGAAAATTTTTACGTTATCGTCAACTCAATTGTGTGTAAGGTGAAACCATTCATAAAAACTACCGGGCAAAATCTGGAAGCAAATTAGCGGAAGGTTCTTTTATAAATGCTCTATAAGTTTCAGTATTCAATAAATGAAATAAACCTAATTATTTATTGCAAACTGGGTACGGAGGCCAACTTCGGATAAAATACGAATCCATGTTCTGAAACTCTTTCTTTGATTTCCCGGGAAGTAGCGTGCACCACAGACGGAAATTAACTTCCGATGACTAACCAAGGTTTGATTACGTCAGCGACGCAGGCTACTCGGGACTAGAGCACACGAAAACGAAAAAATATCCTGATACGTGTGGACGAGGCCTTTATCTCGAGTTGCCTCCTAGTAACCGTGTTTACAATGAATCAAACAACTTATTATCTTACGGGTCTGCCTGCGTTTTCTGCTGGGCTCGGAAGAGCTACATCCATACATCTTGCTGGTCTGTTGAGCGTCTAGATCGCTTAAAGTCTTGTAAGGACTTTTTCCATTCAACGGTTGCAGTGTCCGTAAAGTCGGTTGACCATTTTTGGAGAAAGCGTTGAACGGATAGTGCATGATAGAGCCATAGTCATAAGGCAAACCAAGCGAATCGATTTTATCCCTTTCATACTTTTGGAATGCACTCTCGAAACCTTGAACGCAAAGAGAACCATTTGTTAAATCAAATTTCAATGAGATCAATTCGTAGCAAAAAGAAAAAAAAAATTTAGTGGGTTCTAGTCTGAATGCTATCTGCCGCTATATGAGAAATGTACCCAGAAATTTAGTTGCACGAATAGTATCAAGATAATCGAACACACGATCTTCTGTGTTGCCCACGCTTACGGCATAAAACATCGCCAAGGTGAAGTAATAAATGAACTATAAGCTCTGATTTCTAAACATCCAGACACGAATTTGACTAACTCTAACTATTATTCACTTCTATTGCAAACTGTACTGTAATATAGGACTAACCTACCCTACCACGCAAAACGCCTCAATTCCTTCACACTCGATAAAGAACAAGCTGGAACTGGGGGAAATATTGGCTTAAAACTGACAGCGGCCGGGTCAGAAAAAGATGATCGACTCATTTTCTCCTCCCGGTCGAACATATAAGGCCATTTTCATGTGCTTACAAGTGGAAACATGGGCAGAGTGTATATATAGAATACTTATTTGTAAATATAACTGCCATTGAATATTCCTCAAACTAATGTGCTTATTTTCTATGACTGACTACATTAGCAGCAAATGTGGCCGACACTGAACAACAACATTTTCAGTTTTTAATCACTTAGACCTTTTTTATGAAACGTTAAAACAGTCGAGGAAATTAACAGCGCGCTTGATGTAACTTTGAACAAGCAAAGTACTTTGCTTAGCTTTCGCCGATCACGATGAGCCGCATACCTTCGTTCCTGTGAGCTCAGGAACTGCTTTTGACTTGACTTAGGGATAAAAGTAAATAAATTACCTGGAAGTATGTTCTGCTTTAATACTTGAACGTAATTATCTCTATCTGGCCGACTTTGCTCATGCCAGAAGCCAACAGCATGCCCAATCTCATGTACCATCACGTGACGGTATTCACAGCCAAAACCAACAGAAAGGGACGTTCTCCCGCCAATACGGCCAACATTACACCAGCAGCTAAGAAAGTATCATTTTTATAACATAATTAATGGGTGTTTATTAATTTCCATCATAGCCATCATCGTTATCTTCATCACAATCATCATCAACGTTGTCATTGTTTGGGCGCGATGCAAAAAAGTTTCGTAACTGGTTCAACATCTTGTTATTAACTGAACTGCTTCAGTAAGCCCTCTAGCCAATCTCAACAGGAGACTTATTAAGAATTCATCAATGGACTTTTCAAGCCTCCAAGGAAATAAATGCGAAAAACATGTACCAGCTGTTTATAATTTAATATTTTTATTTACGATCAATAGGCCATTTTCACGATGACGATGACGATGTTTGACTGCAACTATCAGAATTCATTTCGTCTTGTTTTCTTAATAAAATTCAGTTGTCAATTCCGCTGAGGTTTAAAAAGCAATAGCCCTAATTTGCACAAAGAAAACAACAAACTGAAGGATTCTGGTAGTTGTAGTAAAATGAGGTCATCTTGAACATTTTAAAGTTGCGCGAGAGACTGGGTCGGTGCTGTATCGAAAAGCACTGTGGGACTGTTTTAGTGACGCTAACGCGTCAAAATTCATCCTCAAAAACAATCCCATGGTGCAATTCGATGCAACACCCACCCAGTCGATCTAGTATCACTCACAGTCAGTTTCACATTGGCCAGTTGAACAAACGAGGCTGGAGATTTTTTTACTTGTACCAAGGCGTTACCTATCCTTGAAGTAAGTAATCATGAAAACTATTGTCGATACTTTCGACTGATTTGGTTATTTACTAGAGGAGTCAAAATTTAAAAGTGAGCTAGAGAACAAAAACTAATAGCTGTAGTCTTTATTAGCTTAGCACAGAGTTAGGAATGAGGGGGGCTTAATGTTGTCGCTGGCACTCAACTGTCAACACTGAAGTAGAAATCAACCAGTCAAACTCACCCTTTCTGTCGAAAGAACCACAGGTAATCTCTCTCAGATGTTCTATTCACGAATCTAAGACACGTTTTGCTTTCCCATTCCCTCATTGCTGAATTGATGGCGTTCAAAGCGTCGGGCATGTTCTCTGTAGGAAATAGAGATCGAGAAAAAGGTTAAAATCTACCTGGGTGACCACGCAGAGAACGGTAAAGCTCACGTTGCTTACGTGGACTATGGTACTTTTAATTTATTTCCCAGGTCACATGCTTCATATAGCGGGAGGGCTTTCACCAACTCATTATCTTTTCACTCTTCAGCATAGAGTACCGGCACCGCTATCAACTATCAAGAAGTTCGCCACAATTTGTTTCCCATTTAAAGTATCAAGCGAGAGTACAGCTTAGGTATTGGCATTGAGTTTAAACAGAAATGCAAAAGATAGCATATTAAACAGCATATTAAAAAGTGCTGCTGAACAGCTTTGATTTGGATGTCACCCAATAAAGATTTAAAATTAGAACTACCAATGGAGAAAAAAATAGTCAGATGGGAGATATTTTCAATATCTTTACAACGACTGGTGCAATACCTGGCAACGGGTATTTACTTACTCAAACTGCAGTCGATCTCGTATGGTATGATCCCGTTAGGCCACCGAAGACGATTATCACTTCCTGCCGCTCTGCTATTGGTACCCCTGGCGTCTCCATAAGATTTGATATATTCTTGTTGTTCTTTAGTTAACTCGATATCTCCTTCAAACACGTTATCTGGAAGGGGCGGACTGGAAAAGTCTGCAATGTAAAAGACTGTCTCAAACTATGATAATAAGTTTGCTTTTCGGCAAATTAACTAACTTTCAGGCTAAACCATCACACTTTTTATCCACAGAATTGTTTCGTAAACTGAGATCTATTCCAACAAGTAACAGAAAGTACCGTTAGCAGAAAAAAAAAGCTAAAAATATTCACTGACAGTTAACACAATAAGAGCCTCTTCAGTAGTAGGTCAACAATCTTGCTTCCCCTCGTGTTTTAAACTTCATTGAACGTCACAGTCCTGCTTGTTATAAAAAATTGTTCAGTTGGTGTTTATTTTTGTACATAACTAGTAAGTGGATAGAAGGGAATTGGTATAGGGAACTTTCGATCTGTCTGTGCGGCTGACTGACCAAACTGACCAATAAGCCAAGCTTTTCCCGCACGCGCACAGCTACAGCATTTATACTGACTTTGTTTGTTTCGTCGTTACCAACAACAAAGAGGAATATAATTATGAGATACTCTTTTGCGCATGCCGGAAAACAAGCAAGACTGAGAACAGCAAACAGCATTTTAAGCTATCGGAGACTTGTTTTCCGCGTTGTTGGCGCCAATTAAAGCGCTTTTTGATTCAAGGTGAACATGGAGCAAAGCATTAACGAACTTGAAACTTTGTTAGGGAGTCTTAAGAAAAATATTTCAGAACTACTACCTTCTTTTGAGGAGACTGTGGAGCAACAAGCTGAAAAGTTGGCAAGTAAACAGAAGAAAGAACTACGAAGGCAATTCAAGATTGAACAAGAAAACGCCAAAAGTGAATGCAGGAGGATAAGGCATGATACAGAAGAGCGTGTGAAAGAAATCGGTAGGATAATGAAGAAATTCGCCCTAGAGTTTAGGCGTGACCACACCTCTCGGCTAAAAGCCATTGCTCACAGGCAGATAACGGAAAACAAAGATGGGATTGAAAATGCTATAACAGTTGCTACAAGTCAAGAAGGTGAATCAGGCTCTTTAGGGGAATTCCAAAGAAGTGGCATGCCCGAAAACCCGCCGAGCATCCCAGATCTCCCACGGTGTGCGACTTGTGCGAAAGAAAGTGTGTGGTTGTATATTTGCGAAGCATGTCGAATTACACGATACTGCGACGAAAAATGCCAGGAAAAGGACTGGATTAATCACGAGAGTAGTTGCGTCGGACTAAGACATATCTAGCTTATTTTTTTGGTTCGGAAATATTTGATGAAGAATTATGTAGCAGGGCACGTTTCTATTATTACTATTATTATGCGCCGGAACATTTCGGCTCCAACAATAACGCGATCGTGCAATTTTCTCGATCGCAGTTTACTAGATAGTATTTTTACAACAATTTTGATTTTATTAATAATTAACATGTAAGTTCGCTTTGACCTCGTAAAGTTTTCATGTAAAATATAATTGTCATACAAAGCTGTATGTTGTTCTTTTTCTTTATCCTAGCTTAATCTATATTTTAATCAAAACAGGCTAAGTTCTTCCCTTTCCATTTTATTGTAGAGTTTTCTGCTTTCACCCTCAATTAATTGATGCTGGTGGCCTCAGAGTACGTTTTTTAAGGGACCCTTGCATGTCGTAGTTTTTGCCTCCGAAGAGAAACTTTTAGTGGAGTGGAAAACTGGAAAGCAACAGATATCCATGATTTTTATGTATGTCGTCAAAATTGAGAAATTGATGACGTGACAAAGAAAGTGTTTTGCAAAAACTCGATTGTGTGCGCTACTTATCTATTTTAAGTTTAAACGGACCGAGGCGAAGTCGAATAATACCATAAAAACGAGAAGCAATGGACCGAGACGAGGATCAGGTTCATGGAACGAGACCAAGTCCAGCCACAATCTTGACCGAACAAGCTTTATACTATACGTCAACAAAACATTTCAGTATTAATGGGCCTAAAGAATTTTTTCCCCGGAAAGAGCGGGCAAGTTAGCGCATGTATAGGTCCATCTTGACTGCTTGGGTAGCCAATCAAGACCGTCTTATTCGCTTCATTTTGCCCGCTAACATAGACCGCCATATGACAAAAGGTCAGGCATGAAAAGCAAAACTGCTTACCATTAACCCTTGCCCTGCACAACACGCAGACTTACAGACCGTATGACAGGCGTTATTTAGAAGAACGCGAAACTAGAGATAAAGTTCGGCGCAATGCAAGGCTCGAAAGACGATAGCCTTTTCACCACTTGTATATCCTTGCCCTCCTTACGACATGCATACTGGTCGCAGCAAAAACACTTCGCACGTAAATCGACAAAGGTTGTACGCAAACCCCGATCATGCAAAATATATTATTGTAAAATAAAAATGCAAAGGAAGCGCATTTTTTAACCAGACATCGGCTGGGGAACGGTTATTAAAATATAACCTGTTCAAATCTAAAATGTAACTCCCACGTGGTCTAGTGGTTAGGATTCGGCGCTCTCACCGCCGCGGCCCGGGTTCGATTCCCGGCGTGGGAATTCTTTTCATCAGTTTTGCTCTCAACATGGTTTAGATAATAATAATAATAATAATATTTATTTAGCACTTATACTTAACAAAAAGAACCTTCGAGATCGCTAGGCGGTCATATCATTTTGGAACTATTTTCGACTTCCGAGGGCGGAGCATTAATTTTGGACAAAATGACTGGCTAGTATATTTCCTTCTGTGCAAAATTACTTCTACCGTACTTGGTTACTTTGGGCTAGCTCTCGAGGTCGTTTCCGTTAGAAAATATCCACTCTACTAACCCTAAAAAGGGAATATTAACCGACCCAATATTCTACAGTCTCTTAGTCTTCCTCTAGTCTGGCAGTTACATCTGTATGGGGAGGCACCGCCCAAATGGGGCAGGTTTTAGAGGCTTTATATAGATGACAAAGTTGGGATTTCATGAGTTAAAGTATAGGAAAGGTTAGGGAAATTTGTCATATAAGAGTTTCAAAAGGCCTTGTCAACTAAAATATTCAGAACAGACGCATCGCATGGCTGTAAAAAGGCCTGTTCTGAATGACTAAATCGTTAAATAATTATAATGATCTCCATTAGTAACTAATGCCTAGGCACAAGCAGTGGATGCCTTTTTAATGACTTTGCTTTAGATCAGCTTAGGAGTCCAGTTTCCCGGCCGAGGTGCCTCTGATAAAATTAATGGGGGCGGCTAATTTGCAATCGCCCGTGATAGCTCGAAAATTTCTGCCTTAGTGCCACAGGAACACCAGATTAGGATGCGTTCTGACGAACGCAAAAAAACAGGCCAGTTGTATCAGGCTATGTTTAGACTATACCGGATACAGCTTCTGTTCACACATATGAATGGTAATTTCAGCGCGATTTCTGTGACGAAGCGATGCTGGGCCGCGCCGCGTCAATCTCTACAGTGGAGAGTCACATATCAGATAGGTGTTTATACTATACTGCATAGCTTTTCATGTTGGCACGAAAACTGCTATCTGGTATAGTGTGAACATAACCTCTGTCAAAAGAGATGCAGTGTTCTTACTACGTCTATAAAAGGGGTATCACTTTTCGGTCGCACGGTGGAAGGTATATTTCAGTTTTTTTATATGAAGGGGTAAAGGGTTAGACCTTTGCTTGGGCTGGGGTTCCCGTATAATACTTTATTGAGTGCCCCCAACCCCCTGGAACAAATTACCCTCTCGGCTGTGTAGGAAGTTACTGCCAGCATTCTATCTCCACTGGGAATAGAGAGGAGAAGTGTGACGTCACGTTACCATGGTAGCAAAATTTCTGGATCACAACATTAGGGAGTTTAAGCAACAACAACGGCGACGGCAACGAGAACAGTTAAAAAGCAACAAGCTTATATTAGCAAAACAACAACTTTGCATGTGTATCACGCTTTTTTGTACAATTCTTAGCCGTCGTTGCACGACTGCGACATGAAACTTCCTAATTTCACGCGCTTGCTTTATGGAGTAGGTAAACACAACACAAAAATTTTATTTTTATTTTTCTAAACTCAAATACGATCCTTCCGGATTCAACCCAGAAAATTTCGCCAACATTTGAAAAATTTAACATCGATTAAGTTTAAAAAAGTGCGAATTCACTTTTTAAGTGAGTTTTCGGTTAGTTGTCATCCAGAAATTTTGCTACCATGGGAACGTGACGTAATGACTTCTCCTCTCTATTGATAAAAACTTACAATCACGCTCTATTTCCAAGTTTGCTTGAAGAATCTGATCAAAGGCTGCCTTGGCATCCGGATTAGGAATGCTGGGTAAAGCTGACGTAATCCTCAAAAGAATGAGGACGAGGTATTGAAGCAGGACTGAAGTACACAGCTGGACAGGCATTTCCTGAAAATACGACGTAAACGTATGATATTCCCCCAATTCAGATTTAAGGGGTGTAAATATATATCAATTGATAAGGGTTGAAAACGGGCTCATTTCATTTCCTCTTGTTGATTTTGTCATTACGAAATAGGGCTGTATTAGTCGGGGGCACCCAGCGACAATTTTTTGGGAAATATCTGTTCGGAAGACGATTTGAGATCTAGAACTTTCGGAACATTTGCTGTTAAATTTTTAGCCTGTGCCAGGCTCTCAGATAGTATAGTGCGGACGTATTAAAACGAGCAAAGCGAAAATAAGACGCGCGCGACTTGGGAAAGGGGGCGGTGGCGGCGCCGCCCTGTCTCTCCCCAGCCCCCGCGCGTTTTTCGCATTTCTTTTTACTGATCTCAACGCCTGGAACAGGCTATTAAATTTCTCGCTTGACCGCCTCTCCTGGGATTTTCGGACCCCCAAAAGATGGTATAATTGCTCATTTTTAACGGATTTTCACCCTAAAAAGGTAACCTAGAATTTTCGGCAGCCTCTTTCCGGCTGAAATTTTCGAAAAGGTAAATTTTGATCCCTATAATTTTCGGATCACTAGACCTTCAGCTAGGAAATCCGAACAGATGAAAAATTTTTAGGGGATAAAAATATGCCTATATCTACTGTTTAAATACTAAAATACGTTCAACAATGCTATTTTTAAGTGGTTTTGAACTATATTCTCGTTGGGTGCCCCTGATTAGTCCACAGTTGGATAGGTATTTCGTAGAATTATATTGGAAAAGCTATATCTACTGTTTAAATACTAAAATACGTTCAACAATGCTATTTTTAAGTGGTTTTGAACTATATTCTCGTTGGGTGCCCCTGATTAGTCCACAGTTGGATAGGTATTTCGTAGAATTATATTGGAAAAGCATATTGTTCAGATTTAAGGGGTTAATCTAGCCTGAGGGGGCCGGAGGGAGCCTCTGTACACAGGCTAGGTGGTTAACATAAGCCGATAAAGGGTTGAAAACTGGGCCAATTTATTTCCGTCATTTTATAACAGATCTAGGCTGAGGTGAAATATGTTTTGCTACGTCAGTGACATTCTCAACACTTGTGAGCGCACGATTGTTGCGATTTGATCTGTGTCACGTTTGTAAATATCCGGCATTTGGGGCCAGTTGCGAAATTTTAGAGGGGCTGTATTAGTCCACAGTTGGACAGGTATTTCCTGGAATTATATTGGAAAAGCATATTGTTCAGATTTAAGGGGTTTTATATAGCCTGAAGGGACAGGAGGGGGCATCTGTACACAGGCTAGGTGGTTAACATAAACCGATAAAGGGCTGAAGTCGGGCCCAGTTTATTTAATACAGTTTACAACAGATCCAGGTTGAGGTGGTATATGTTTTACTAAGTCAGTGACATTCTCAACACTTGTGAGCGCACGATTGTTGCGATTTGATCTGAGTCACGTTTGAAAATATCCCGCGGCATTCGGGGCTTGCGAAATTTTAGACTTTAAGCAGTCCCTCATGGCGTTTGTCTCACCAGCTCGCACGAAACATGTTCGACCTGGTGAAATGCAATCCTGTGGGACTCCTGCAATTTTATGCTCTCTTCACAAATGTCGTCTGAGCAGTGTAATGGCACGTCACTAGCTGGTTTAACTTTCTGATTAGCAAGATCCATGATCCCGGGCATGATCGATCCTTCCGCTGAGATTGTTGCGGCGAACAAAAGCTAGCCTCTATATTTTCCTCATTCGAAACTCCGAGAAACTCTCAACGCTATCAGACCGCTCACAATCAAGCTCAAACTTCTACTAAACAGAGGAACAAAAATAGGACGATAAAACTTTTATCAACGAATATTTTCCCCTTAGCTTGCGATATT